TTTATTTGTGGATAAACTGAGTCACAGGAAGATGAAGCAAATGTTTCAGGGTCACAGCGGTATTAGGTGGCAGAACTGAATTTCAAACCAATGTAAAACTTACTTTAAGTCTAGTTTTTTCCCAACTCCCAGTGCTATATTTCTAAGCCCAGTTTTTAAAAGAGGAAAGTAAGGTCAACCTCATATCCAGAGGAAAAAAATGTTTTAAATTAGCATCCTCTGCTGGCATGGGTAGTAGAGAGAGTTGTATTTATTCCACCATAAAAGATATCTTGGCTCAAATCAAAATACTTTCAAAGTCAGCATTATTACCTGTGAAATTGGCTTGATACTATATTACTGAGTGAAGTATCTCCCAGTTCTTAATAAACATTAAGTAACTCTTACCCTCACGGAGTTAAGGGAGATAAACAGAGTTTGTTCTCCAAAAATAAAAGAAATGTTGTTGGCATTGGAATGACAGACACTCAAAGGAGTCAGCTCGTAAGTCCTTGGGTGATTCAAATCCATTTTCTAGAACAGGGACTTCACAGCATGGGCCAGTGGCCCGACATCTGCTGCTGGCCCCTTGTCATTCCTTGTTCATGCTCATGGGGACAAGAGATGGGTCAGACCAGCTGCAGCTCCTGCCATTTCTATTTGTTGCAAAGGGAGCTGCAGAATTGAGTGGTGTTAGAACACACTTGTCCACCCCAAATCCCAGGTTTGATCCTATAGCTCTTGATTGGTCAAGGAGACTGCCAACTTATATTGCCTCAACAGATACTGCTTTGGGGAAAAACCTAGACTGGGCCCCTGTGTGGTAGAACTTTGGAGACCAAATAAGATATCCAAATTACATGAATAATTTTTCTTGATATTTTTGGAGATAATCATGTAGCATGAAGTTTCTCTTTTTTCTATTTGTACATTTTTTGAGTGGCCTACCCACATATAAAGCTAACTAATCTTTGAAAATCGCTTTTATTTCAAAATTGGGCAAAAATGGTGTGATTCTATTATGGACACGGGAATCAGACATTTCTTCCTGCCTTGGGAGAATATTCCGGAGACCAACAGCTTCAATCAACTTTCAGAATTTGCGCAAGTTAAAACTAAGACAGGCTTAGTGCAAATGTAATGTACACACCCCAAAACCAGGGCTTTAACATCCATTTACTGTTTTAAAAACTTTTTATTCTCCTTGCCTCAAACAGTCCCCCACAATGGTTTGGAGATTGGCACACTTTCACGCCTTCCAAGATGTAACCCTAATTCTCTAAGCAGACCTGGCTATATACATCAATCAAAACTGAAACTGAAGGAAAGGTATCAGGGCAATCTGCTTATTTTAGGGATATCTTATCATATGTCTATCACTCACAGTACAATATGAACTTTACCCACACTTGTTGAGCCTTGTTTCACCTTACCTTACAGTTAGGTGACTGTTGCTATATTTCAGGGAGACTGGGGGAATAATCTGTCATTTTTTTCTAAGCAATTTATAGACTTTTCTTTTATGGTTACCTTGAATCTCATGACTGATCATGTAATTATCCTGAATTGACTTCTGAGAATTTGAGAACTGACTTGTGATCTGCTTGAAACGTGGCCCAGGACTTTCTGCTTATATAGCCCTGCCAATTAACATAACATCAGCTTTATTTTATTATTTGATCCTGATTTTTCCTTTGCCTTAATTTCTTTATCTAATTTTGCCCAATACTACATACACTTTGTGTACGTATGTACACACACACACACACACACACACACACACGATAAAATAGTTTTTGTCAACCACCACAAATCTTTTTTATAGGAAAATCTTTAAATAGTGAAATGAATTGTCCCAATTGGTGGTGGTCTGTTCTTTACATCCCGATTTTCTCCAAATAAGATGTTGGAGTCCCTTAAAACTGAGAAGAGACCATTGGTTTTATTTAGAAGCATATTCTCTGCCCTGTGGCCTGGTGTTTACTTTTCTTTTTTCCTTTCACTTTACTTTTGTACGCAGTCCTCTCTCTATTCTCCAGCCAGTCACCCCACCCCCAGGCAACATGCAGCAGTACTACTTAACAATACCTGGTCTACCAGGGACTCTAACCTATAACATAGTATGCACTAGAAAGCCCCAGACACAGCCCCACGTCACAGGACACAGTAAATTGTGTAACTATCCACTCTCTGGTTTGTTTCAGGGAAACTGACAGATCTTTATGAAAAACTTTGCAGAGAAGTGGTATGCTGAAAAGAAATAATCACATAATCACACACAGCCTCCCTCAAGGACCATTTAGGGCCCTATCATTAATCTTTGTAACACTCCTACGAAAGAGGTGGATGGAAAGTTCTCTCAGGCCAGTGTTTCATAGGTGAGGGGACAGGGCAGGCCTGGGCTTGCGCATGGTTTAGAAGGGAGGAAAGAAAACTCAGCACCCTTAAGGCTCCCACCACAGTCAGCCCCAGCACTGACATCTCCCATGCAGCCCACATCCTGGGCAGTGCAGGTTTTGTCTTCTCCAGGAGTATTTAGTTTCTCGGGGGCAGGTATCCATATATGACCATCCATAGCTCTTTCCAGCTTGGCAGTGCTCCCCGGACCAGCAACCCCTCCATGCACCCCATGCTGTCAGTAGCTGCCAGTAGATTGAAATTACAGGCCTCTAGACAAAGTTTTTTTCAGAAGGTTTCAGCTCCAGCTCAGCCCTTGCAGAAATGTATGAAATGCTCTGACCACCCACCGTTGGGATTTCCTCCCTGTGCAAACCTGAGCTGTTTGCTGGGCCCCAGCACCTTCTCTAACCCCTCATTCTCATAGGCGCTCAGCACCAGGAGCTGAAGATAAAAAGGCGGCAAAGTCGGCTCTGATGCCAATCTTCTGCCACACAGCTGTGTATAATGGTTTTGCTGCTATTTTGCAGCCTGAATCACTTTCCCTGAAATGCTGCAGGTCTACACTTGTAGCCTAGTAACTGTTTAATGAAACTGATAATTAATCTTCTACACCATGCTCTATTACTGTAGAACTAACATCCACAATGCAACAGTAGAAGAATAAAATGAGTAAAGATGAGAAAAAAGACAGCAAGTTGTCAAAATACAGTAATTGGTAAGGAATTAAAAATGGAATCTCCTACAAGATGGCGTCTCCCTCCCAAGATGGAAATCAAACAGTTTTTGGTCACAATCTGAAGAGATACAATTATCATAAACCCCAGAAGGGCTTTCTCATGTGCTTGGTGAGGTCTCTCTTTAGGAACCCAAACAACTGTTATCAAATGGATTCCTATATATCTAGGAAGTGGAAAGCTAGAAAGCTAGAAGGCAAAAACTTAAAGTTGTGTGCAATACAATAATTATGTTACAAGTAATAATGTTTACTGGGCACTCAATATATGCCAGGCATGATAAACAAAATGCTATAGATTTATATAGTAATGTAGTTATTATTTCATTTAATACTCATAAAAATTGATGAGAGATATTTCCCCATTTTACAGATGAGAAAACGGAGTGTCAGAAGGTTAAGTAACTTGCTTCAGATCACTCCTCTAGGAAACCAAACAGCCTGAATTTGAATCCAGTTTTTTCTGACCTCATGGTAAGTTTTTTTTTTTCTGACCTCATGATGATCACTCTCCAGTTTTGCAACATTCTGAAATGTCTTCTGAATTATCAAATAAAAATTAACTTATTTGTGTTAAGTAGCAGTGTCATATTTTAAAATCAAGTGGGTGGTCTTCCGAATATGTAAGTTTTGTAAAATAAACCAACAAAAACGCACCTCACCGAACTAAGAAATCAAATGCTTAGATTGAAGGGATATTGTGGGAACCAAATAAAATCTGGAACATGAAAAATCTTAGGAAAAGACATAGCATTCTACAGAAGAATGAGAATGTCATTGCTATCAAATATATCAATGTGGGCTGGCTGCTATGGCTCATGCCTGTAATCCCAGCACTTTGGGAGGCTGAGTTGGGCAGATCACTTGAGGCCAGGAGTTTAAGACCACCCTGGCCAACATGGTGAAACCCTGTCTCTACTGAAAATACAAAAATGAGCCGGCTGTGGTAGCATGCATCTGTAATCCCTGCTACTTGGGAGGCTGAGGGAGGAGAATCTCTTGAACCCGGGAGGCAGAGGGGCAGTGAGCCAAGATTGAGACACTGCACTCCTGCCTGGGTGGCAGAGCGAGACTCCATCTCAAAATAAAAATAAAAATAAAAATAAATGTGTATGTGGTATGTGTGGTAATTCTCAGTTGACCAGGATATTCTGTTTATCAAAACACGTGCTTACCTAACCAACTTACACACCGGTCACTTGTCAACAAGCCACCTTTTCACCTCGTTGTCCTATGAGATGCAGAACCATGCATATTTTAGAGCTTAGGCATTAGAACTTTTCCTTTTCCAATTATTTCTGGGCCACATCCACGTCCCCAGTTTCTCTTGAAAGGGCTGAGAAAACTCCTAAAGAGCAACAAAGTGTTAAGTTGCTGACACGCGAATTACAACTAAGGTCACCGTCAAGGAAGCCAGTTTAGGGCCCCCCTCCTCCGTTTTCTTGTTACCTAAAAACGCGGCTGCATACGCTAGCAGGTAGCAGCACCTGTAATTCATTTGCCCCCACGCGTCTCATTTGATGGGGGAGGGAGCGTTTCCAGCTGTGATGTGCTCGGCATGGAAACAATATTAACGCCGCTGAGGGGAAGGAGATGTAAGGCTCCCAGGAAGACCTCCTTACTTGTTCGGAACTCGAGTTATGAAGAAGACAGAGCATAGTTTATTGACCAATGAAACAACCAGAGAAATTTCTTCTAAAGGTTTTAAGGAAGAGTGATTATACTATATAAATAGCGCTATTTCAGGTTTGAACAATTTGAGAGGCCCGTTTGCCTTTCAACTCCCCCTTCCTCACATAATCTAAAAGAAAAGAAGACTAAGATAGTTGAAAAGCGCGGGGTAGGTCTTCAAGGAGGAAAGGCGAACACTGGCCTGACCCTGGGCTTTAGACACCCATGAACAACAGGAAGGAAGCTTATTAACCCCTCTCCTCCCCCTCCCTCTTCTCCCCGGTGGAGAATCAGCTCCTCCTCCTCCCGGTCGTTCGACCCTGGTGCAAAATGCAAACAACCGCCCGCTTTCCCCACCCTGCGCGGTTCTCCCAGAGGAGGGAGAGGGAAGAGTCGAGGACGCAGCCCCAAGCCGAGTCCGGCAAGTCTGTCAATCCGGCGTGAACGTCCCGACGAGACAACTTGGACCTCAGGGCCCTCGTGCCGGCCGGACACCGCAGGTACCCCCTTTACCTGCCTCTCTGCTGGCACCCCAACTCCTAGCCTTATTTTCTCCCCAGCCACATAATATTCCGGACCTCTGCTCCCCGTGCAGGTGGTGCAAACGCCCCTGCTCTCCGGCGCCCCCTGCCGGGAAGAGGGAAGGCGGCGGCCGCGGAGGAGCAGGACGCGGGGCCGGGACAGAGCTCGGCTCTGGGAAGAAGCCGGGAGCTTCCCTGATGGTGCCGCCGCCTCCGAGCCGGGGAGGAGCTGCCAGGGGCCAGCTGGGCAGGAGCCTGGGTCCGCTACTGCTGCTCCTGGCGCTGGGACACACGTGGACCTACAGAGAGGAGCCGGAGGACGGCGACAGGTAAGCGCTGCAAGCCCCAGCGGAGGGCGAGCTCCTGCTGGATGCGCGTCCGGCTTGCCAGGGTGCCGGCGGTCCTCCTCGGCGCCCACTCCCGCAGCGATCCCCACGCCCCCACTCCTCTGGCCGTAAGGAGAGTGCTCAGCTGTCCTGGGCTACACTTCCCTTAGCTCCCGGGTATCAGCCTGTGCGCCCTGCCATCCGTGGGTCGCGTTTGGGATGCCCTCCGTCTAGCGTTCCTGCCTCCCCCCAGGTATCACACCGGCGGGCACAGCTCGTGAACCCCGCTTCCTTTCTCCTGGAGCTGGTTCGCTCCGTCGTGACCCTCGCCTGGCTCGTCCCTGTGCCCGGAGTCTGCTCCGCGTACGCGTTTGGGGACCAGCCCCTGCCCAGCGCGCCGGGACGCGGAGCCCGGCGATCCCCCACGCGCCAGGGACTCCCCAGCGCGCACTGCCCGCCTCCGCTCTCTCGCTGAGAATCAAACGTTTCCTCTGCACTCTTTCGTAGAGAAATCTGCTCAGAGAGTAAAATCGCGACGACTAAATACCCGTGTCTGAAACCTACAGGCGAGCTCACCACATGCTACAGGTAAGCCTGAGGGCTCTACGGACTGTTCGCCACTGCGCAACGGGGCTGACTGGGGAGGTGGCGCCCTAAAGGAGGGGTTTGGAGATGCGCTTGGGACCCGAGCAGCGTTTACACTGGAACGTGCTGGGTGCGTGACGCGCGGTGCGAATCTTTGAGTGTTGGTTGGATAGGAGTCAGAGCAACACTAGGCAACTGAGTTTGCATCTAGGGTGTGTGCCCTGAGATCCTGAGGATGTTTGCCGCTCCCTGAAATACTTGCGTGGCGAAAGTTGGAGAAGAGGCGGCTACAAGTCTGTGAAGGAGATTGGATTGGATTTTGGGTGTAAACAGTGGGGCATAGCAAACACGGATGGCGGCTTTTGTATTCGTGTTTTGTTTTGAAAACAAAGTCGACAAGGCAATTCTTGGCACTTGCCTGTCTTCTGACCTTCTCTTGGGGCAGCGTGTGACTGTCACGGCCTCTGGACAAAAATGTAGGAGGAGGATTGTGAGTGGTTGTGTTGAGTGAAAATAAAAAGATTGTTGGGGCAGAGGACAAAAGTATTTCTAAGAATGTGGGCCACAGATCCGCCTGGGTATCTGTTAAATGAGTGACCCCAGGTGCTTGTTAAAACTAAGCGTGGATGGGGCTAGGGAATCCATCCCCAGGTGGTTCCTATCTCCGAAAGGAGAGAACCACTGTTCTGCTTGCAGCCTTTTGGAGATGAGGGTTGATTTTGGTTTTTCACCATTGAATTCTTGGCTTCTGTTCCAGTGCTCTCACTGGATAGGGGGAGCATGCACCCATAAATGTTTATTGGATATCTGCTTTTTAGAGGCACTGTACAAGGTACTGTGATCATATGCCCACACCTGACTGTCTCTCAGACTCATATACTCTGTTCGGGTTGCGGGGATAAGTACTGAGTAGTACACGGTAACGCAGCAGTCCCTAGAAACGAACTTGAAAGAAAACAATGTTTTATTCCTCATAAGGTTGTTGCCTATGAATCAATCATAGCGTTTCCTGCAGCTGAGAGCATTTCCTATACCCAAAGGTTCAGACATAAGTGATTCCAGGGCTGTCAGTTTATGGGTGCAAAAGCACCATCAGTTACATCGCGTACTTCTGCTCTTAAATCTGTTGTTGGCAGTGGAGGGACAACAATTAGGCAAATCAACAGTCACTCCTTGCCCTTAGGAGTGACTCTTGGCATGTGCGGGGGGTGAACGCTGAACAAAAAGAGAGGTAGTAGAGGAGAAAGGAGTATGTTCAGTTGGCAGGTTAAGTCTTCAAGAGGCTAACTGGGTGAGCAAGGTCACCGAGCTCCTGAAGTGACCTGGTGGTGCTGGCAGCAGGTTTGCTTGCCTGGTTCCAGCGCTGTCTTTCATCCACAGGACCACAGCGTTTCTTAGGACACATTGTTTTCCTATCAGCACGGTATAAAGCCTCGAATTTAACATGGGAAATGACACTGAGATGGTTTGCTCATTCGTTTAGTCCCTGAAGGTCAGACTTCACATAAATCAGTGACAGTTACAGAATGCATGTTAGATTTTCAGAAACCATTTGGTGCCCGATTATTCTGTTTGTTAATGCCATGACTGTCGTCTTTTCCAGACTTTTTAAAGCAGTGTGGTGTTTCTTTTATACTCTTTCAACAGGAGACACTAGCAGCATCTTGGCGTGTGTTTTCACTAACAGCTACTCAAACTGCTATGAGATCTAGCAAAAATGATGTTTTATATCAAGGAGAAGAAGAAAGAACTTTGTTTAAAGGAATGGGAAAGGATGCTTTCAGCTTGAAAGTGGTGTTGATCTTTGTGTATATGAAAAGATCTTAGATTTTGTTTTTAGATCTATTTTCTCTATGGAAGTCAAGCGTTCTCTGTATTCCAGAGAATGGTCTTATCCTGTTTCTATAATCTACTCATCTTGAACCCCAAGAATAGAGGATACTGTTTTCCTTAGTTTGTGACTTGATTGTCCTAACCCTGTAGACCCTTGCTACGTCAAGTATCATCTGGAAACCAGCTGCACAGCATGATCTGGGAGCTTGTTAGAATCCCAGGCCTCTGCCCCCAGATCTCTTGAATCAGAATCTGTCTTAATGAGAGATGCATACAATCTTGAAGCACTGTTGTAAGAAACCAGTGTCCTCATCCCCAGGATACATGCAGACCCATTTAGACAGATCCTTAAAGGAGCATGGAGGCCTTTGCAGGTGACCAGTTAGCTGTCCTACCTTGTTAAACTAAAGTGAGATAAAGGACCAGCCTTCCAGGAAGCCAGCCTTTAAAAGTTACTTTGAATTGAGCTGTAAGTAATGCAGCATTACTGATGGAATGTTCTTTGACTTTATAGCATTCTCTTTACCAGGTGGCTTTTGGTGAATGGTTTTCAGCACAAGTGAAGGAACTCTGGAAGCCAATTCTGAACTTGAAGTGTGTTTAAAAATGACTTTTAAAAAGTTACTAGGCCAGGTGCGGTGGCTCATGCCTGTAATCCCAGCACTTTGGGAGGCCGAGGCTGGCGGATCTCAAGGTCAAGAGATGGAGACCATCCTGGCCAACATGGTGAAACCCCATCACTACTAAAAATACAAAAATTAGCTGGGGGTGGTGGCGCACACCTGTAGTCCCAGCTGCTCGGGAGGCTGAAGCAGGAGAATCACTTGAACCCAGGAGGCAGAGGTTGCAGTGAGCTGAGATCACGCCACTGGACTCCAGCCTGGTGACAGAGCAAGATTCCTCGATTCTTAAAAAAAAAAACACGCTCTACCACGCGTCACTCCCCGCGCCCGCCCCTCCCCTCACCCCCCCCTGTATATGGCAGGAGTGAGACTTTTGAGTGCAATCTCGCCCTTATTGCCCAGCTGACGCTGTGATCCGCCATCCGTCCGCCCTCACTGCACCTCCCCGCGCTCGCGGGTTTCGAGCCTCTCGACTCCTCCTGGCTTAGCTCCCGAGTACGCCCGCTTACTCCCCGCGCGCCATCTCACATCCGTCTGGCTAATTTCTTGTACCCTCTTTTAGTAGTGATGCGTTTTTACCACAATTTTGCCCAGGCTGGTCTCAAGCCCTCTGACCCCGAGTGACCTGCTGCTTCCGGCCTCCACCATGCTGGGATTACAGCGCATGAGCTCACCACTCCCAGCCGAAGACCTCATCTCGTTAAATCATTGGATATGGAGAGATCCACCGGTTAATACTAATAATAAGTATCGATAGAGTCGAGGGATATATCTGATCTGCCATTAATCCCCAAAAGTTATGGTAAACTAAATCGTTTGGTGAAGAAAAATCGGAATCTGAAACTCCTTTGTCCTGAAACGTAACCTCCCTCTCACCCCCGCCCCTCCCTCCTCTATGGTTTTACTTAGCTTCATGTAGACAACACTTTCCCCCTTCTAGCACTGTTTTTATTAGATATTTAAATGGGGCGTGGGCAACTGCTCCAGATTCACGTGTATTTCACTATTTTATGCACTTCACATACAGCCATCTCACCGTACAGCCAACTTCTGGTAGCATCTCGTATCTATCTGAGCTTTACAAGAGTGGAAGCCAACCTCAGAGGAAGAATATTAATGATGTGCCCAAGGTCACAAAACTGTATGCTGAACGAGCCAGCGCTTAAACTCACCGCGTTCCGTTGACTTCAATGCCTGAGCCTTTCATCTCCCAGCGGTGCCTCATGCGGAGTTCCGACTTCTCGCGCGCTATCCGCTCAGAAGAATCTATCATAACCAGCATGGCTGTAAATTTCAAAGACAGAGTTTCATCAGAAAGCCTATCATCCCCAGGATCACATTCACGAGTTTCCTGGAGATTACCATCTGCCATCTCTCTCAAACAA